CAACACCCAGAGAGGTTGGCTCCTTAAAGAGAAAGGCCTGTCTGCAGGGAGATCAAGCAGATAACCTTAGCCTGGGGCTGTATCCAGAGTCCTTGGGCTTTCTTAAAGTGCTACAACAGCCATGCCCTGGCTTCAGCAGGCCACTCTGCTGATGGCCACTTACAAAGTGGGAAGCACTCAGCTCTAGAAAAATCATCTTTTCTTGTTATGATCCCCTCAGAACTGCACTTTCTGGTGCCCTAATTTAGGGGAAAATAAGCCCACCCCTAAAGACATGGCCTATTTTATTTTTATACTGCTTACTTTACTGGGCACTTCAGTACACTCAGCAGATAATCAGAACGTCTCATCACAGGAACAAATAACACCTTTAAGTAAAAACCTAAGCCAGAGAGCACACTGGAAGTTCCAGACATGCTTTAGCCAAGCGCCCATCAGACAAAAGCAGCCCCCCTAACTTAAAGGGAATTACCTCTGTTTTGTTCCTGTGATATTGCTGATAGGTACAAGCACCTGGTGAACACCTTGAAAACCCCTACCACTGAGAGATATCCTCACACTCCAGGGGCTAACTCTAAGAATAAGGGGGGGACATTTGTCATTTATAAAGAGAAGAGGGCTTTAATATCCATTATCCATTAAAAAGTAAAGATAATAAATAACCACTGTGATGAGGACATCATTAGCCTTGTATTTATTTCCTTTTGCTCTTCTTCTATTTGAACTTAAATACTTTCTGTCCTAGTATAGACCACATCAGTGCTCTAATGGTTACCAACTAGAATTGATTACTGGAGTAGGCACTTTTAAATTTCCATCTATCAATGATCATACATTCATAATAGCCTATATATCAATGCCATTTTGCTTCCATTTTATAGGTGTGAAAATTAAGTTAGGAAGAAGTTTAAAACTTTGCACATCGCTCCAATGCAAGAAAACACAGAGCCTAGATTCATCCGTGTCCATCTGACTTTTGAAAATTGTCCTTACATTGTGACTCTCATGGTGTGAGCTTTCCTGGGAAGGTGTCTCAAGACACATCTACTCCCCAGAGGGACAGAGGCCACTGACAGAACAAAGAAGTGACTCCTGCCCAAGACCAGCTTGGTGAACCAATGTGTTTATTGGGGTTACTTACAGGTGTATGGGTGACTCAAGGTAGCAGTACTACTGAAGGGTCCCTGGTCTCAGTCAGCCTTCTACTTCTTATTCACTAGCACCCCCAAGACCACATGTAGCAGGTGCATGCTGGAGTGAAGACAAGTCTCAGATAAGGGGATGGTGGCCCTCCTTCTTTAAGTTCCTTACTAGTACATCATAGAACCCTCTGTTGCTCTTACTTTCTTGCCTTGACTGTTGGCCAAGGTGTTCCATAGCCACCATAGCAACTATGCTTCACGACTGCCTACATTAAAGTCTTACCTGGAGAAAACAGCTCTGCCCCAACAGCTCGGACACCTGACATTTTCCTGCTCTTGGGCAAAAGCCTGTCCTTCAAACACATCTTGGCTCCTTCATGGTCACCTCCTCGAAACCAAGACCCTACATCAGCATCAGCCTTTTGTTTTGGCCCCTAGGTCTCTGTCAATTGATTATGTGACAACACTGATTTATAGCTTGCCGGATGCTTCTTTGATCTACCACATGGAAGCCAACACTTCCCATTTGATGTCTCTGAAATTCTCCATTTATTCTGAACCCTTTATAAAATGGAAGATAGGTACATATGAAATTCTTCTCTTTTCTCTCTCCTACATTCCCTTATGTCTTTCTCTTACTCCTTTTCTCATCTCTGAAGATGGTAGCAACATTTTCTTCACTAAGTATACATACCAGGGAAAAGAAAAAACAAAAAGCTCTGCTCCAATAATCTACCCCTTACAAGCTTTATTACGCTCTCTTGGTATAGGGATCCCACTTATGCCAACCTTCCTTATCTTTTGCCAGCTTATGCAGATAGAAGTTCTCAATGAGATTCCATCTCCTCACCTCCTAATCCATCCAAAATTGTCTTGGAGCCTCATTTTCAGGTGGTACCACTGCTCCACTTATACCGTCCATACCATCATCTCAGTACTTTAAAAGCCAATACTAACATAGCTGAGCAGTTTTTTCAGCTACTTCTATCTTGATATGGCTGACTGAAACCTAACTCTTTGTTTGCTTCAGAATTATAATATCCTATTTCATTCTCTTAGCTTTATTTTAACGCTGTAATTTGCACAATTATCCAGCAGAATTGCTGGCAAGCGTCTGGAAGATATCAGTTTGAAAGGACCAAATACTGATTCTCTTATTATAAGAAAAAAATAGTGTTTTTAAAGTTTGAAAATTATAATCACAGTAAAAATTTCCAGCATATGGTCCTTTGCTATGAAAATGTTTGCAATTATTAAGCATGATCATTGTTACAAGAGATTCATAATTCTATATGAAAATTTATTTCCCACCCCTCAACATAAGCCTCAAGTCACATGCAGTTAATTCTATCCTTAGGGCATCATTCACATTAGTTTGTCATTGATCAGTTGGAAAAGAACTGTTTTAGGACATGTTCAAAAATAAAAATGACCAGTTTGTGTCCCAGAATGCACTCATTCTGCTGGAGGTGGGAAGAAGAGTTTCACAAGTGAAGCCACAGTCAATTACACTCCTAACCTAGAGAGGACGAAGACTATCAGTCACTAGAAATGTGAAGCCTGAAATTCAGAGAATTTTTTTCACTTTTCAGATAACAGATTACTTTTTTTTACCCTATTCTGCTCATTTAAGAGGAAGAAGCCCTTCGAGACACATTTTTCCTGTCTTTTCTTATTAAATTTTCTCAAACTTCTATAGTTAGTAGAAACAGACCAAAATGCCAGAAATCACTTAGCAATCTCATCAATCTATCTATCCATCCATCATCTATCCATGTATCAACTATCATCTATCCATCTATCTTCTATCTATCATCTATCTATATCTATCTCTTCTCTATCTTCTATCTATCTATCTATTTATCTATCTATCTACCTGCTTATCTATTTCCATCTCTTTCCTCTAAGAAGAGTCTTCTTTGCTGGTTCTTTTGTCAACCTTGAAAATGAAATTCTTTTCTCTTGATCTCATTTACTTCTCAGTTACTTGTAAGTTGTTAAACATGAGATCCTGTGCTCTAGTAAGACAAGCCTCTAGAAAGCAAGTGGCCCAGAGACCTGAATCAAGATGTAAGCCTGATTCCAGTCTCTGAACCAGCTTGTAGACACTCACCAAGAGTCTATCAGAGCATCCTGAGATAAGTGCTAGACTATATTTGATTAAAGAAAAACTTGATAGTATTCAGCTGAACCACAACCACAGAACTCAGTATTTCAGATAAAATCCTTGAGTTGTTGATTTAAGCTCAGCCATCAGATATATCTTTATCCTCACAGAACTCAATGACTATACATACTTATAAAACTTATCAAACTGGATTTTTAGTAGCTATGGAATTCAATAGCAAGCAATTACACTGAGCTGATCCCTGAGCAGAGAAGTCCACTGGATTTATTCAATGTGACTACAATATAGTAGGAAGGCCACAGGGACTAACATAAAAGACCTGTGTTCTAGCCCCCCCCCCCCCCCCCGCTTTGCCACCAGCCACATATCAGACCTTTCAGCCTCAGTTTATGCAACTATAAATGTTAGAGGTGAATCGGACAAGCCCCCAAACTCCTTCGAATGTTTGTTTTATACTCACCTCCCCCAAGGACCTCCTCAGGGTCCAAGGTAGTCTAACAAATGGTGGTGGTACTGGGGTGTCCTATACCCATGTCTCTTCCTACAGTGGTAAAAGCAAGCAGTTGTGCAAAAGTGTATCTCCTTCCACAGTATACTCCATACACAGGGCTTTACAATCAAGACCATACACATATGGGAAGGCACTCATGAATCCTGCCTGTTGTGTGTCCCCAAAGGCAGCAAGCATGTCTTACAACAGGAATGGCTTGTTCCAGCATAATGTGAGATGTGCATTCCTTAGATTAGCTTCTTGAGCTCTCTAAGGGGGACACACAAATAACACTAGTTGTGCTTCTTCTGCAGTCTGGAAAACAGTAAAAATATCTCTGTAGGCAAGACAACATATGGAAAGAGGACAGCTGCAACATGTGAAGGGCTCAGCCAAGTGGTTTAAGTGTGCCTGCTCCATGAGGAGATTTTTATTTATACCAAAGCATTCCTTTGGAAGGGTTGTTATCTTGTCCTATTCTTTATCATAGCCTTAAAATGAAAATGTTCAACCTTCAGGCTGAATGCTATACACAGACATATACATAATATTACGAATATGGCAGTAACATTTTGTATTAACATAAAATAAAGGATAAAAGCATCTTGTAGACAATATTGTAGCTCATAATTCCAGAAGAGAGTTATGAAATAGCTAGGGGAAAGTGATAGTTTGCTAACTTTTGGAAATGATAGGAAACAGCATTGTCTAGGCATAAGTTTACTCAAAATTGTCCTATGCAGGGGCTTCAAAACCAGGAGTAACTGTGAGTCTGGCTGGTTTATGCTGCACTCTCTACATAAATCACCATGGCCACTGGATAGACTAACTCAGACTCATGGACACAGAATCTCTTTCCTCCCATCTGCCTCTCGCATCTAGTGAGGAATCCTTCGCTGCATCTCTGCCTACTTTGACCCTAATTCACTACCCATCTAACAACTTCATCCTCTACTTGTGAACTTACTAAAAACAGCCCCTAAGAAGTGACCGCAGCTCCTACTCTCAACCAGTAGACAACTTGGGTCTTTAGAACGACACTGACCATGACCCAGTCATGCCCTCCAACCAGGGAAAGACATGGAACATCAGCCAAGTTAGTGACAAAAAAAAACTCACTGTCTTAGAAAGGCACTCACTCCCCCTGCTCACCCTGATGCCAGGGTCCCTGGAATATTCTCAGAAAAACCTCTGAGAGTCCCTTCTCTCTTGCCAGGGTAACAAAGTGATAGGACGTTACCATGAGGCTGGAATAGGTGTAGGGATAGTGATAGGCCAGGAAGCAGGCATCCTCATTGTGTGGAAAGGTGACAGCGAAGGTGAGGGTGTAATAGTGCTTCCCAGATGCTCCATCCACGGTAGCTGCATTCAGACGATAGTGGTTTCTAAAGAAAAAAAGTAAACAGAGTTCTAAATGCCTTAAAACCTCCTGGATTACATATTGACAAGAGAACAATCACTCAACGATCAAAAAACGCTTGTGGGTACAGGGAAGGGAATTCACTGCCTGCTCATGTATCCGTTCAGCCACACATAAGCCTGACCCAGTGTCTCCCACTTGTGATATACGTGCTGTGGCTTCCCTTGCTGCATCTGCAGATGAGCACTACCTAGTCATTGTACTGGGAAACAGAGGACGATGTAAGCAATGCTGTTTCCTACTGTCCTGTTGCAGACAGCCACCCGGATTATGGTTCCCCCGGTCCATGTCACTCTGCACAACCATATAAGGCCCAGCTGATTCCTTTCATTTTGTTTTATTTTTCTGTGTCATGTCCAAAAGCTGTATTTTGTTCGCACATCGCCCATCCTCTAAGCATGATGTCCTTCCTGCTCCTTCTTCTGTGTTGTTCTGAGGTTTGGAGGGAGTGATGTAGGTTTCCCATTCAGGGCTAAACAGAACCACCATTTATTCTTGGTGCCTTGACCATTTATGAGTCTCTGCATTAACTGTCTCCAGCTGTAATAAGACGCTCCTCTGATGAAGACATAATACAGCACGAATCTATGGATAGCAATCAACATGCAGCTCACACTCCTTATGTCTGACAAATGGATTTATAGCTATCACTGCTAAACACCGAATTCCATCTCAAAATTCACACGTGTCCTCTTTTGTTACTACGGTAATAACTCATTTCGCAAGTGAAGAAATGAAATCTTGGAATAACTAGTTGACTTTAAAGCCAAGAACTTCCTGATACAGAACTTGAACCCAGATTTCTCTAGCTGAAAAGACTGTTCTTTTCACTGAACAGTAAGTTCTTACCAAAGGAATGTCTTTGTCATCCCAAAGGTGACTCTACTTCTTAAAGCTTGAGAATGCACATTTACCTTTGTCAAAGATGAAGAAGCAATTTTGATACTTCACAGAAGAGTATCAGAGTAAATTGCACCCAGAAGTACATTCCAAGCAATGTTTTCCGTACACGCTGCCAGTTACATTCTCGTTTTGCTGTAGATGTTGAGACAGCTGTACAGGCTTTCCTGAGAAATGTCATCATCCAGGCTGCATGATAATGCAAAGTACACATAACACCAAAGAGGCAATTCCACCTTTGGCATGACATTAGCTTGCTGCCTCATTATGAGGTTTTAGAGGTTTGGGTGAATGAGAAGGAAGAAACAAATTATTATTTGAGTGTTCTTGTGAAACATAGAAACTAGGTATTCTTTTCTGCTTTTAGCTGTCTTCATGATTTCCTTACCAACAATAAGCCCAAAAGGCAGTTGTATACAAAAAGAGCTAATAGCACACAATCATATTTCCTGTGCTCTTTGTGATGTTTCAATATCTTTATTTATTTAATGTTCCAATATTTATAAAACTAGGGGTAGGTGAATGAAATGTTGTCAGTCCTTCCAGCAACAGCCCAATATGCTTTGCTTGCTTCAGCTTCTGTCCACATGGCAACCTTGAGCCTTTCATTCTAGGGGAAAGAAGATACACACACCCCTTAACAACATCAGGACCAAGCAACTGTCTCACACACCTTCTGAATCACACCAATAGAGTCTATTTCCCATGCCCTTCAGAAATAGCTTTGAAAGAGTATCTACCCCCATAGTGTTATCTAGATCTTGATATCTAACTGAATCTGTTTTTTTTTTCCAGATTTCCCCAAAGTTTTGAAGTTTCTCCAAAAGCTAAGACTATGGTTATTAGAAAGTACGCAAAGAAGCAGATGGCAGCCCAGAAGGCATGTGAGGCACATGTGTTCTGTCTTTATTTATTTTCTGATTGCACTTGCAAAGGCTCTAATGAAAAGGCACGTTTTCTTTATATCTAGCTGAATAACAAATAGGTACTGGTCAGTTACAGCTCCTAACCAAGGGAAATGAGCCAGGGACACTGCATTACAGCATGAAAGAGTGTCCCAATCTATAAACAATACATAAGCGCTCGCACACGCGCGCGCATGCGTGCGCGCACGCGCGCAAACACACACACACGTTCATGAATATGAAAACAGGTAGAAACATGATCAAATGCCTACTGTCACCAAGTTCATAAGCAATGGGGACAGAGTCAGCATCTTGACATGAAAATAACAAACTCACATAAAAATCAGCTGTAGTCATCTTCTTTGGCAATGGCCTTTCTGTTTTGTAGGTCTACCTGTGAACTATGAAGAGTAGCAGATGCATGCAGCATTAAGTATTGAGGCTTTGTAGGTTGCCCACTGTACACAGAAGTCACATCACAAGTACATTTGCCCACCACAAACTCAGCCCTCCTCCACTCTGCTACAGAGAGCAAGAAAGAGGGGGAAATGAAATCTCTGTGTCTGTCCTTATGTTCTTCACCATTGCAGCCAGCCCTGGGCTCCAAGGAAAGACCAGGTCCAGTGGAATGGAAAGAGAAATAGCATGATCTAAGTCCGTGGTTTTAAGATACCATGATCCAAGTGATAGAAGAGAAGAATCCAGATGGCAGTTTTGACTATCTGAAATCTTCTCACACATGTGTGCATGTAAACACCACAACACACACACACACACACACACACACACACACACACACACACACATACACACACAC